CACCATAGACCATCTTAACTAAAGACTGAAACAATGTAGGCATCTGACTAACATCTCCAATTGTTATTCTCCTGTTTGGTTTGTGACATCTTGCTTGATGAAGAAGCTTGCAAGCTCCGAAAGCTTGCAACAAGTACATTGTGCATTTCGGTTGGACAAGAAAGGTATCACTGTTTGGTGGATTTTTGTTTGAAATTTGCTAAATGGCCAACACAGCTCCCCCTGAATGTTTTCTAATCTCCAGAGTGGTAGAATTCAAAGTTATAGTCGTGTTAAGTCTGCAGAATCTGTACCTAGAGAGATCTTGTATCACCTTTACTGAAAGGAAGAAGTGGGCAGCATGAATTTTTGCAGACATAAATCCACTTCCTCAGATGCTTTTTCTGAGGAGGCAGACTAAAGTCTACGAAACCTCATGCTGCCCATTTCTTTCTCTCAGTTCTCAGTGAGTCTCCAAGGTGCTCCAAGATCTAATCTCCAGAGTCATAGTCCAAGGCTCAAACCACTACGCCACGCTGTCCCGTCTGAGGGTTTGCTTGACGGTAAAACCCCACCACCTTCATTGGCATTTTAGGGCCAATGGGGCATCGGGAAGGCCATAGATACAGGCTAAGGGTTCAAGGAGCAAACCCATTTATTGTTGTTGTCTGCCTTCAAGTCCTTTCCGACTTATGGCAACCCTATTATGGGATTTTCTTGGCAAGATTTGTTCAGAGGAGGCTTGCCCTGGCCTTCCCTCTGAGGCTGAGAGAGTGTCACTTGCCCAAGGTCAGCCAGTGGGTTTCACGGCTGAGCTGGGAATTGAACCCTGATCTTGAGAGTTGTAGTCCAACATTCAAACCACTACGCCACACTGGCTCTTCTGTACATTTCCTCAATGGCAAACCCCCACCGCCTTCATTGGGACCTTAGAGGCACTTCCCATGTGGGGCATCAAGAAGGCCAAGGGTAACTGGAAGCCCAGTTCTCCCAGTCCTCTCCATAAACTGAGGCAGGACTGTTAGACCTTTTTCTGGATTTGGACCAGAGGAATCCATCCTCGTGCATTGGACTGAGAGCCAGCGTGGGGTAGTGGCTTGAGCACTGTACTAGGACTCTGGAAACCAGAGTTCAAATCCCACTGGGTGACCTTGGGCAAAGTCACACTCTCTCAGCCTCAGAGGATGGCAATTGTAAACCCCCTCGGAAGAAACTTGCAAAGAAAACCCTACGATAGCTTCACCTTAGGGGTCACCATAAGGCGGAAATGACTTGAAGGCATATGACAACAACAAATGGGTTTGCTAGTTCATCCCATATATATAGGCTGCCCTCCCTTATCTACTTAGCTGGGAAAAAGCCCTGTTAACCCTATTGAATTTAGTGGGGGACTTACAGGGGTTGCAAACTGCCAGAAATAGTGCAAATTGAGCCCACTTTTAGGGTTAGGGTTAGTGCTAGGGAATCATGGGAATTGTTTTTGTTCTGAGACATTGAGCCTTCTCTGTCAGAGAGCTCTGGTGCCACAATAAAATACAATTCCCATGATTCCCTAACCCTAAAAGTGGACTCAATTTGCACTATTTCTGGTAGTCTGCAATCCCAATTAGTTCTGAGTTGACATGTATGAGTCTCACATTTGTCCTCTGAGGGTGCATCCACACTGCAGAAATAATCCAGTATGACACTGCTTTAACTGCCATGGGTCAATGCAATGGAATTATGGCAACTGTAGTTTGCTGTGGCACCTCTACAATTCCCAGAATTCCATAGCACTGACCCATAGCAGTTAAAGCAGTGTCAAACCGGATTATTTCTGCAGTGTGGGTGGCCTCTGAGTATCAACCCCACCCCTTGTCATTCATCTCAGGGTTTTAGACATGAAACCAGTTCCTGAGGAGCAGACAGGAGGGACAGATGCATTATCATTTCTAGTCATTTTTCTTTCTTTTCCCTCCAAGAAAGAAAGGTAAGCAAGTATTTGTCTCCCCGCCTGACTCTGGAAGTCCCAGTTATTGTTATGGGGTGAGGTTAATGTCTGAGAAATGTGATTCCAAGCCTTTAGTGAAAGTGGTTTTATTTTTATTTTTAAAAATTTAATGAGAAAGGGAAGCGAGGAAAGGAAGAGGAGGCGTGTGGTTGGAGTTTCTCGATTTCCCCAGTGGGGTGGCTAGAGAGGACATAAGAAAATATCCTTTCAGAAAGAGTTGAGGATTGCCCAGTGAAACTGATGGAGACTCCAAGACAGAAAAGAAAGACAATAGACAAAATGAGCATGAAGGCATCATCCTCTACAAGATGTTGTGTTGCCCCCTGACTTAAGTTGGAAGACACCTGTTTTGCAAAGGGGAGGGAAAAGTCATGAAAAGTCAGTTTGTCGGCATTTGTTCCGTGTGATAGCTAGTGAAGGACTATATAGCGATGTTGTTGTGTGCCTTCAAGTCGTTTCCAGGTTATGGCGACCCTAAGGCAACCCTATCATGGGACATGATTTATTTATTGCCCAAGTGCAGAGTAGTAACTGAGGAATCAAAGCATGGCAGATTGATCCGCGTACTTTCAAGTCCTGCTTGTAGTTGTTAGCTTCCCTCAAGTTGACTTTGACTCATGGCGACCCTGTGGATGAGACATTTCCAAGACCCCCTGTCCTCCATTGCTCTGCTCAAGTCCTACAGACTCATGTCTGGACCTTATCCCACGCGGCCAAAAGCAGCAAGAATCCACATGGAATCAGGTGCTATAGCGCTATAGTTTTCCGGGTGATCCCACGACGTCGCTCGGAATCAGCTAAGAATCAGGCGCTATAGCGCTATAGTTTTCCGGGTGATCCCACGACGTCGCTCAGAATCCAACAAGAAACCGCTAGGAATGCAGCATCATTCGGGTTCTTTTGAATGTCGGTTTCAGCGGGCATTGCAATAGCGCTACCTTATCCATAGCGCTATTATAGCGCTAGCGCCATATTATACTAGCGCTATAGTACTGCAATGATGCTCATATCGGTTTCTTGCCACTTTTGAGAGCAGCGTGGGATAAGGTCCTCTGTGTCCTCCCCAATTGAGTCTAGTGTGCGGCCTATCTCTCCTTCTTCTACTCTCTACCTTTGCCAGCATTATTGTCTTTCCCAGTGAGTCCTGCTTTCTCAAAGTACAACAGCCTCAATGTAATCAACTTGGTCTCCAGGAGTATTTCTGGCTTGATCTGTTCAAGGACCCATTTGTTTGTCTTTTTGGCCATCCACGGTATCCTCAGCACTTTTCTTCAGCACCACATTATCTCAAATGAATTGATTTTCTTTTTATCTGCCTTTTCCACTGCCCAGCTCCCACATCCATACAGGAATACCTTAGCTTGGACAAGTCTAACTTTGGTGCTCTCTCGTATATCTTTACTCTTTAGGATCTTCTCTAGCTCTTTCATGGCTGCTCTTCCCATTCCTAATCTTCTTCTTATCTCTTGACCGCAGTCTCCATTCTGGGCGATGTTTGATGATCCCAAGTGCAAGAAATCTTTACTATTTCAATTTCCTCATTGTCTGATTCGAATTTATGTAGGTCCTGCGCGGACCTACGTAAACATTATTTTTGTTTTCTTTATGTTCAGCAGCAGGCCTGCCTTCGGACTTTCTTCCTTGACCTTCCTTAGTAATTGTTCCAAGTCGTTGATGTTTTCTGCTATTAATATTGTGTCCTCCATATATCTTAGATTGTTGATGTTCCTTCCTCCTCCTCCTTCTTCTGAGTCTAATCCTGCTCTTCATAATGATATATTTATTCTGCGTACAGGTTGAACAGATATGGTGATAATATCCAGCCTTGCCTGACTCCTTTACTTATTGGGAACCATTCCATTTCTCCATATTCTGACAGTGGCCTCTTGTCCCGAGTATAGATTTCTGATCAGGACTATCAAGTGTATTGACATTCCCATGTCTTTGAGAGCATTCTCTAGCTTTTCATGATTGACGCAGTCAAAGGCCTTGCTGTAGTCTATAAAGCAGGGGTAGGCAACCTTTCCCCTTTAAGGGCCAAGGGACTTCAGCTCCCAGAATCCCAGGAGCTATTGGCCAACATGGGACTATTGGCCAACATGGCTGAGGCTTCTGGGAGCTGAAGTCCCTCGGCCCTTAAAGGGGAAAGGTTGCCTACCCCTGCTATAAAGCACATGTTGATTTTCTTGTGGGCTTCCCAAAAGCATCTCCCTGGCCACTGCTGGAAAAGAAGAAGCTGAACTAAGTTTTCCCCAATCAGCAGCCCTCTGGAGATGTGGAACTACACTTCCCATATGAGTTTTTGGGAATAATATTTTGTCCAGCAATCTGGAGTGCGCTAGCGTGGCACTAGAAAATATTGTTTGATCTGATCCAAAAGTGTTCTTGCTTACTTGTGTATACATTTACTTATTGTATGAACATTTTTGTTGCTTTTCCGCTGTAACACCCTTGAGGCCTTACAAGAATAGCAAAAATACAATATAGCCATTAAATATCTATAAAGCACTGCCTGGTTCACGGCACCAAAACTTCAGACTATATAACCGCCAGCAGAAATATGAGTGTTTGAAAGGAGTCCTTAACTTAGACTGCATCTTAATTTTTTAGCAACTCATCTTCAATAAATGTGGCATTTCTTCTGAAGTTTCCATCCACTAGGTACCTGGGGATGCTTCCAAACAAGGCATTTATCACACCATCACTCTGCCTTTTTTTGCCAAATTTGCTACTCTTTCTTTGAAGGTCTTTAAACAGAGGCTGGATGGCCATCTGTCGGGGAT